AGACTACAGCCTTAAATAAGGATCACACTTCAACTTAAAGCAAACAAAAATTCTCACAACAGGACCAATGACCAACATCATGCTAAACAGAAAAGATTGAAGCTGTCGAGGATTTTATTTTACTTGGATCCACAATCAACATCCATGGAAATAGGAAGCAAAAAGTCAAAAGATATATTGCACTGGGCTTATCTGCTGCAAAACACCTCTTCAAAATGTTAAAGAGCAAAGATGTCACCTTGAGGACTAAGGTGCCCTGGCCCAAGCCAAGGAACTTTAGTTTCTTCATATGCATGTATGGATAAGGAAGACCAAACAAGAAGTGCTGCCTTTGAATTATGGTGTTGGCAAAGAATATTGAATATAGCATGCACTGCCAGAAGACAGACCAAATCTGTCTTGGAAGAAGTAAGGCCAGTATGCTCCTTAGAAAAGATGGCAAGACTTCACGTCATGTACTTTGGACATGTTATCAGAAGGGACAACTCCCTGGAGAAGGACATCAGGCTTGATAAAGTAGAGAGTCAACAAAAAAGAGGAAGGACCTCAACAAGATGGATTGACACAGTGGCTACAACAATGGGCTCAAAGAGCAATGATTTTGAGGATGATATAGGATTGGGCAGTGCTTTGTTCTGTTGTACACAGGGTGGCTATGAGTTGGAACGGACTCAGTGGCATTGAACAACAACAACACAATGTATTATTCATAATGAATCATTAATTTACATTAGTACTAAATACTAATGTAATTTACATTAGTATTAAATTGCAATATGAAGGAAAACACAAATATTCAATACAGTAGACAGAATTTAAGAAATGTGCAGATTTCAAAGTGTTTCTAAAAATACAGTCCAAGGTAAAGACAGACTTGGGAACTGGAATAGCCTGGTGAGCATCTTAGTTATCTATTGCTCCTGTAACAGAAATACCACAAGTGGGTAGCTTTAAAGAACATAAATGTATTTTATCAAAGTGTAGGTGGCTAGAGGTCTGACTTCAGGGCACTGGCTGTATAGGAAGTCTCCCTCTCTGTCGGCTTTGTGGGAAGATCCTTGTGGGAAGATGTTTTTGTAGCCCTGGCATTCCTTAGTTCCTTGGTGATCTTCACATGGAATCTATCTGCCCCATTTGCACTTTCTTATCTCTAGTTAATCTTCTGTTTGTCTAACTCAGAAGAGATTAGGTTGAAAACATACCCTAAACTAATATGGCCTCATTGTTGTTGTTATGTGCTGTCAAGTCAGATGACTCATAGTGACCCCTCCTTGGGTTTCCGAGGCAGTATCACTATGGAAGTAGATTGCCTAACCTTCCTTCTGAGGAGTGGCTGGTGGATTTGAACCGCCAGCCTTCTGGTAAGCAATCAAGTGCCTTAGGCACTATGCTACCAGAGCTCCTAATATGGCCTCATTAACATAACATTATATTGCATTATGGAAGGTGATAATACTAGATTATATCCACAAGTATTGGAGTTAAGATTCTAACAGGTATTTCTGAGGGAGGAAGGGAGGGACACAACTCAGTCCGCCTTATTCCTATTCCCCAGAATTGTTTATACAGGTATTTTCACAAGACCATTAGAGCCTCAAGGAGAGATGCCTTCCCATTCGTCACTTTCTTTCCTGGCAACACCAATGTTCTGTGTTCTGCCCTTACAAAACAACAACAACAAAAACCCACTTTGGTGACTTCATTTGGAGTGCCCTAAAGGGTTTCTAAGGCTGTATCTTTACTGGAGCAGATGGCCAGGTCTTTCTCCTGTGGAGCTGCTGGTGGGTTCAAACCTCTGACCTTTCAGTTAACACTGGGGGCTCCATCTACCCTTCCAGCTAATATTAATTGAGTATAGACTAAGTACTTGGTTTCCATCTAAACTCTGCCTTTATCAAGCCCTTTACTCTTTTCAACAAGCCTATGAGGCTGGTATTATTAAGATACAGCCCTACAAGATAAGCAGGATAGCGAAGTGAGCCAACCTCCCTCCATTTATCTTATTTACCCCCACCTCTCTGGGGTATCCAAAACCAGCCTGAGTGCGTTTAGCAGCCATCTTAGTATCCTAGGTGACCTTTAGGTCATTAAATGCCTCATTAATATTAACCTCTCCGCCTCTGGATGGAGTTTAGCTGCCATCTTCCACACACGCGAAATACAGAAAAATATGTAACCCTAACTGCACCTGTTAAAATCAGGAAGGGTATGTGTCAGGGTTGCATCCTTTTACTATACTTATTCAATCTGTATGCTGAGCAAATAATATGAAAAGCTGGACTACATAAAGAAAAACAGGGCATCAGAATTGGAGCAAGACTCATTAACAACCTGTGATATGCAGATGACAAAGCCTTGCTTGCTGAAAGCAGAGATGACTTGAAGCACTTACTAATGAAGGTCAAAGACTACAATTTTCAGTATGGATTACGCTTCGACATAAAGAAAACAAAAATCCTCACAACTGGACCAATAAACAATATCATGGTAAGTGGAGAAAAGATGGAAGTTGTCAGGGATTTCATTTTACTTGGATCCACAATCAATGCTCCCTGAAGGAGCAGTCAAGAAATCAGACATCATGTTGCACTGGGCAAATCTGCTGCAAAAGACCTCTTTAATGTATTAAGGAGCAAAGATGTCACTAAGAAGACTAAGGTATGCCTGACCCAAGTCATGGTATTTTCAATTGCCTGATATGCACGTGAAAGCTGGACAATGAATAAGGAAGACCAAAGAAGAGTCGATGCCTTTACATTGTGGTGCTGGTGAAGAATAATGAAAATACCATGGATTGCCAGAAGAACGAACAAACCTGTCCTGGAAGAAGTGCAGTTGGAATGTGCCTTAGAAGCAACAATGGCCAACTTCGTCTCACCTACTTTGCTCATGTTGTCAGAAGAGCATGCTTGGTAAAATAGAGGGTCTGTGAAAAAGAGGAAGACATTCGACAAGATGGACTGACACAGTGGCTGCAATGATGGGTTCAAACATTGCAAGTGATTGTGAGGAAGGCGTAGGACAGGGCAGTGGTTTGTTCCGTTATATATAGGGTTGCTATGAGTTGGAGCTGACTCGGCGACATGTAACAACCACTGTACCTGCATAAATGTGAAAGTATGTATACTCATGATTCTGTATGAATTCCTGTTTTGGAAAGTGTATACAAGGGAAGCTTGAAGGAGCCTTCCTTGGAGCACTCTTGGAGGCACTATTCCAGGCTCTTCTCTTCTTTGACCGAAGAAATAAAAGTGCCTTTCTTTTCACTCACCTCAGTCTCTTGTTTATTGGCTACAATGAGTCATACCCAGCAGAGCTTGGATTTTACCTGGCAGCATTATCAACTGAAGCATAATTTACCCAAGATCACACAGCCAGTGGGTATCTAGCAGGGGGCAATTCCAACCAAGGCATTCTTAGTGGCTATACTATAGTGCCTTAGTGACTCAACATTTAAACTGTACTCTCTAATAGACAATACATTATGTAAAATTAAAACAAAAAAGCTTTGATAATAATGTTCAATGTCTTATAAATAATAATATAATAAAGTAGCATTTTTAATCAATTATGAAAAATAATAAAACATGCACAAATCATGTTCAATTTTCATAAAGTGAACAGCCTTGATGTAACTATCATTCACTCAAAATAACATCACCAGACACCTCCCAGAATCTTTCTGTGCTCTACAGTAAGTTTCAAAATTCAAAATAAGCATTCAGTTTTTATAAAAGTTGCACTCTATATACTACCCCCTTACATTGACTGAAATACATTTCCATAATAATATGCTCTTTCTAGAGCTGTGGTTCTCAAAATGCAGTCCCCAGATCAGCAGTCTCAGCATCACCTGGGACCTTATTAGACATCCAAATCCAGGGCTGCAAAGCATACCAAAGAATCCTATCTCTGGCGGGTGGATCCCTGCAATCTGCGTTTTTGACAGGACTTGAAGCTGATTCTGCTGCTCATTAAGGTTTGAGAAGCACAGGTGTTAAAAAATTTGAGAAGCATGGAAATCAGTCCATTGGAAGTGAATTTTGGTCTCCTCTGAGGCTAATCTCTTCTATGAATACTATGGTGTAAAGTGTTACACCTGAATAATGGTGACAAGTTATTTTTTAATTATTATTTAATTTTTACTGTGATTTTGGTGAAAGTTTACAGAACAAATTCATTTTCCATACAGCAGTTCATATACATTTTGTTTCATGACATTGACTGCAATTCCCCACAATTTAACAGCTCTCTTCCCACTTCTTCCCTGTAGTTACCTCTTGGCTGTCCTTCCTTCCCATGCACTCCTGTCCCCCAGCTGTCTCCCTGTGCAAACACTGCCATTCTATTCTTCCATGATTGATGGCTCCAAGGAGTGTATCTACCTGATGTAAATGTTCTCCCCATATGCTTGTCTATTCTTTGGCTGGAAGCCACAGGACTGAGTTCAATTCCAGATCTGAAGATTAGCTAGGGGCCACAATCTCAGGGGTCTCACCAGGCTCCATCAGACCAGCAAACCTGGCTCCATCAGACCAGCAAACCTGGTTCTTTTTGTTTTGTTTTTTATGATTTTGAGTTTGTGGCAAGTTCTTAGACCTGTCTCTTTTTATACAGTTAAAATGCGTTTCTTACTTCTCAACTTCTCTCCCCAGAGCCTTGGCTACTCAAACAAACAAACAAACAAACAAACAAACTCACTGCCATCAAGTCGAATGCAACTCATACCAGCTTTGGGTTCCCCAAACGGTATCACCAGGGAAGTGGATTGCTCAACCTCCCCTCCGAGGAGCAGGTGGTGGGTGCCGGGGAACTATCAACGTCCAGAAGGAGCATGTTTTGGCCAATCAGAAAGGCAGGTTGGAGCCAGCTCCTTGTCCTGGCGTTGTGATTGGCCGTTTCCAGCCGGAAGAGCCTCCCCTACCACGCCTCTCGACCGCCTCACGAACCAATCTTCACTCGGCGCCTAAAGTTGACAAAACTCGCGCGAGCGATTTAACATGGCTGAGGATCCCGCCTTAGGGGCTCTGAGTCCGCGGGGGTGTGCGGACGGCAAAGATGCGGACGGTACGGAGGAGCGGGTGGAGGAAATGGCGGAAGAAGACCAGGAGCAGTTCGAGTGCCAGGAATTGCTCGACTGCCAGGTACAAATGGAGAACCCTGAGGAGGAGGAGGACGCGAGACTGGTAGCCGAAGCCGAGACTGTGGCCGCCGGTTGGATGCTGGATTTTCTCTGCCTGTCTCTTTGCCGGGCTTTCCGCGACGGCCGATCCGAGGACTTCCACCAGACCCGCGACAGCGCTGAGGGTGAGTGCCAGGAGGGATGTGGCGGGGGGCGCCATGTCGCGTCGGGAGATGGGAACCGGGATGCGGCGTGGGGGCTGCTAAGGCCTAGTTTCCATCGCGGCCCCCAGTAGGGTCGGAAGAGAGGGGCTGCCTCTGCGGAATAGCAGAGTGACCCTGTTTCTTGGTTGAGACCGAGTTCGAATTGCGGTTCCGCCCAATGTCACCTGAGTGGCCTTAGTTTTCGTCCTAGGTAAATTAAGGGTAATAAATCCTTTTTTTTTTTAGGGTTAGTAAAGGAGCTCTGGTAGCATAGTGCCTAAGGCACTTGACTGCTCACCAGAAGGCTGGCGGTTCAAACCCACCAGCCACTCCTCGGAAGGAAGGTTGGGCAGTCCTACTTCCGTAGTGATACTGCCTCGGAAACCCAAGGAGGGGTCGCTATGAGTCGGGGCCGACTCGACGGCAAACAACAACAACAACAACAAAGGATTAAATGAGTTAAAATATGTAAAATCGCACGAATCTAGTTTCTGTTGTCTCCTTTGGGTCTTGCATTTGGTTGTTCCTTCTACTCAGGTATTCCTATCGAAGCGGTCATTCATCAGTCACAGTGGCTTCCTAGTGCCATCCAAGCATCATTGTTTTCTGTTTATGGACTATTTAAATCTCCTATGACCTGCTTGGTTGGTATAGCCCTCCGAGTAAAAGTAACTGTCGATGAAGTGTACCTAGACAGCCTTTAATTCGTGGATAAACATAGCCCTCTAGAGAAGACTTGGGTATCTTTTTGAAAGATGATAATAAGAAAGATGCTCTGGTATTATTTCAGAGTTGGCACTAAACTTAATGGCAACTGAATGCAGCTGTGATCCAAATAGCATTTAATACAAAATCCTTGGGAAAACATACTAACAAATTTCATCTTTATAATAATTCCAACGAGTTAGGCCAAAAATATTAATTCATAGAGGAGTAAACTAGTTAAGCAACGTAAGCTAGTGGTAGGTTAAAAAGGGTGTTCCAGACTCAGGCCTTATCTTCCAATTCAAGAATCTTTCCTATATATCACAGATAACACTAGAGCCATAGATAATTTCCATTAATTAGAAAGGTAAAACCTGGAATGAAGTAATTCACTATAATTAGAATTATTTTTAAAAAGACCTCTTTTGGAAGGAACATGGCATGATCTCTATGGTCATGTATTAGAGACATCAGTATGATCTCCTGTTTTAAGTTAATATAGGTACAGATGGTTAGATACAGAAATATATGTGTATGTCGTCATGGGTTAGTATGCACACATATTTCCTTGCTCGTCAGCTAAGAGGGTGTAGAAGCAACAAAACCCCAGTAGCAGCAAGCACATCTAGGGTCTGGATCTTGTATCTAGTATGATTCTTCCATAAAAGGAACCAGGGTTCCTTGGAGAATAACTGATTCCAGGACCTCACATGGATAATAAACAGAGGAACACCTTGTGCCAGAAATTAAGGAAGTGCTTTTTTTTAAAAAAAACCAATGGAGACTTGTGAGACACAGAAGTCAACTGAAAGAACCCCTAAAGGCCCAAACTGCAACAACTTGAACAAGAAAACTGTAAATAGAATTGGATTATAGCCCAAAGTATAAAATAAATATCCAAGAATCCATATTGATATGAATAAATGAAGGATAGATAGATAAGAGGCAAATATCCCTTGCAAAAGAATTCCAAATCATTTTGTAGTTTTTCTCCCCTCAAGGAGGTGGAGCTTAACTCCTCAGTCTTTAAGTGTGGGCTGCAGGTAGGGACTTCCAAAGAGTACAGCATGGAAGGAGGGGGAAAAGAATACAGTAAAGAAACCTGACAAACAGAACTTAAACTAGATGATCAAGGTCAACATCAATAGTACTAAGTCATATTAGAGGTATGTATGCTTGATATGATGTGATGAAAATGGAACTTTATCTCTGTGGTCTTCCTCCCTAACACTCTTACCTCCAATCTAGTCATAGAAAAAACATTAGACAAATCCCAGTTGAGGGACAGTCTGCACAATACCTGACCAGCACTCAAGGCCATCAAAAAAAGGAAAGTCTGAGAAACTGTCACAGCCAATAGGAGCCTAAGGAGACATGATGACTAAATGTAATGTGGTGTCCTAGATGGGATCCTAACACAGAAAAAGGGCATTAAGGAAATATGAGTAAAGCATAGACTTTAATTAATAATAGTGTATCAATAACAGTCTCTCTCAGTCTCTCCCAGGAGTGCATGTCTCTTGGTGTCTCTCAGCAGCACGTTTCTCTCAGGAGTGTGTTTCTCTCAGCAGCACATCTTTCTCAGCCAGCAAGTCAGAGAAACTCCTGCCTCTAGGAGGCTCCTTTTGAGCCTGACAGAGTGGCCAAACCAACCAATCATAACTTCAGAATTCTAAGCACCTGAAAGAGCAAATTTCCCAGAACATTGCTTTGTGCTACTCAACAGAAATACCCCAGGTGGATAACTTTAATAATCAGGAGCTCCTCAGTTGCTCAGGGCAAGTTCCACCATGGAGTTTACAAAGCCTTATGTCTAGAAAAGCCATACCGGGTAATTTATTACACCATAATGTATAAAATAAAGTTTATTATTGAAAAAAAAGAAAAGAAAGATTTCTTTCAGGTTTTTACCTCAAGGGTACCTAAGCAGTAATCTAGGCCACCTCCATTATTTTAACATTAAGGGCAGGAATAAAACTCAGACAATTCCCAGAGAGTAAACTGTTTTTTAAGTTGCACTGCTAATTAGCAGTGGATATGCAAATTGTGAACATAATGTTGTTTGTATTCACATTTTCAACTCAGAGCAAAATATGTAATTCAGTGTTTCTAGAAAATTCTTAGCTCTTTCATTCAGATGTAGAATTGTTCTTACACCTACCTTTTTCAAGTAATGCCTTTTCCAGACTATTATTCCTAATTGTTCTTAAGAACATCCTGCTCATGGGGTGCTCATGCTACTTGGCTCTGCCACCTTCTCCCCTTATTGCCACCTTCTGAAGGAAGGTTGGGCAACCCTACTTCCATAGTGATACTGCCTCAGAAACCCAAGGAGGGGTCGCTATGAGTCGGGGCCGACTTGACGGCACATAACAACAACAACAACAGTATCTTGGATATTTTTCCTTATTTATTGTAGGTTTGGGTAGTGTATAGTTAACTTCTCCATTCCAGTATTTTCCATCATCCTAGGTGATTGTAGCATCCCTATAGATAACCATCCTGATAACCATACTACTCAGTTCATGACCTTTTTCTTTTCCTATGTAGCATTACACTTTTGCCATCTAAGCATCTCTAGAACCATACCCCTCCAAAATTACAAAATTGATATATTCTAACTGTGTGATCTTAACTTCCTAACATTTTTTGTTGCTAAACTACTTTCATTCTACCTGTTCTTAAAACTAGCCTGTCATGGGATACAGCATAGAGTAGTGATTAAGAGCATGGGCTATAGGGTAAATTTTCTGAATTTGGTGTCTGGCTTTGCTGCTTTACTGTGGTGAGACCAAGCAAATTACCCTCTTGGTACCTCATAAGGCAGAGTTTATTTTCAGTTTTTGGAATTAAATGTGAGTCTCTCAGAGGAACAGATAAAAGTTTTAGATCTTTCTCCAGAGAAATGTATCTCCTGCTATGTGTTATAAGAAGCTCTGGTGGTGCAGTGCCTAAGGCATTTGACTTCAAGCCAGAAGGTTGGCAGTTCGTTCACACACGCCAGCCACTCTGCAGAAGGAAGACTGGGCAATCTATTTCTGTAAAGATTTATTGCCTCAGAAACCCAAAGGGGGGCGGGTCACTGTGAGTCAGAAACAACTTGATGGCAGTGAGTTTGGTTTGGTTTAGGCTATGTTCTCTACAGAAACAAAACCAGTGAATCTTGGAGAGAGAGAGAGAAAAATTTATCTCAAGAAAATGGCTCATAAAGTTGTAGATGCTGGCAAGTCCCAGGTGTGTGGGTCAGATATCAAGCTGGAGGCTTCTCCTCACTCACTCAGCTGCAGGGGCAGCCAAACCTGAGATCAGCAGGTAATACAGAAGGCTGCTAGCTTCTGAGGCTGATAAATCCAAGACTGGTAGGTAAAATGGCCGGCTGTCGATTCACAGGCTGTGGAGGCAGTACGGCAGACCGCTGGTTCAAGTCTAGATGATGACGAGCCAGATGCAGGATCCTGAGCAAAATGCCAGACATCTTTCCCAGAATTTTTCCATATATACTGGAAGCAGGCCACACCCTGAAGAAAACTTTCAACTGATTGACTGCCAATAGCAAATCTCATCATGAAGGATAACTATTACCATAACATCATAACTGCTAAACTATTTAGAATAATGGCTCAGGCAAGATGACACAGAACTTTAATACATTAGGCTTAAAATAAGCCATTCCAGAGGCTTAAAGGAGGATCTCGTTGCCATCAAGAAAGAGCTAGGAGTGGAGCATGGCCTTGGACCTGAGATTCCTGTGCTGCACCTTCTTGGCAGGCAGCATCAGCAGAGGCAGCAGAACCAAGAGACTGACACGAGACATAGTGGCGGGCTTGCTGGTCTATAGAACGAGAAGGCTGAGTGCCTTCAGGCAGGAGGCTTGCTGACAGAGTAGGGTGCACCCATCAGCAGAGCTAAAATAGCTTCATAACACTTGCCTGAACACGGCAGAGACCAGGCTGAGAGGCCAAGGGCTGGAGAGAGCTGTGCCTGTGGGCATGGCCAAAGGGAGGCTGTCCTGATCAAAAAATTATATCCTGAGTTTTCCTGAACCTGAATTGTAATTTGTTACTTCCTTAATAAACCCCATAATTATGAGTATTTTCTGTGAGTTGTGTGTGGCCATTGCAGTGAATTATTGAACCCAGCAGAGGAGTAGAGAGTGCCCTAGGAGGCATGGCTGTGTCAGTACTGGTGGAAAGGTTAGAGGGTGGCAGCATGTCAGACTTCTACCTCATAGGAATCAGCCTTCAGCTGATATTGCTGATGGTGATTCTGTTTTCCCCTTGTGAAGTTAGTGAAGGTCAGAAGATGCTGGACCCCATGCCCTTTCTGCAGCTATATTAGATCCAAATAATTCTAGTATAACCTAAGATTAATGTCATCTTATGTCTTTGTTCTCTAGTGCTGCTGTAACACTGGCGAATGACTTTAACAAACATTTATTGTCTTCAGTAAAGTAGGCTAGAAGTCTAAATTCAGAGTGCCAGCTTTATGGGAATACTAGGTTAGAAGTTTTGAGTTCAAAGTGCTGGCTCTAGGGGCTATTTGGAAGCCCCTGGACTGTGGGCTTCAACCCTGCCTTCCAGCCCACTGGAGTAAGCTGGAGGCATCTTCTGACTCAGCGCAGCTGCAGGAGCTGATGAACTCACCATTGGCACATAGTACAGCAAGATGCTAAGCCAATATAAGATTGGCAGGTAAATTGGCAGATTTTTGGCTCATAGGCTGCTCAGGCAATGATCCTAAAATTGGCAGACAACTGCAGGCCGCTGGTTCAAGTCCAGGAACTGGAGATGATGATGGGCCAAATGCAGGATCCAAAATGAGCAAAAGGTAGATACCATTCCCAAAGCTTCTGTATACATACTGGAAGCAGGCCACAACCCAAAGGCAACTCTTCATCTAATTTGCTGCTCACAGCAGATTCTACCATGTAGGTGATTATACCACATTCTGTCTTATCATGAGGAATCTCTTCATCCAGCTGCCAAACCACTTAAACTCACAGCCCAAAGAAGTTAACACAAAACCTTAACTACCACATCTTAGAATTGAAGAAATGGAGTAAATCTATTTATATGTCTCGTTATCTGCTTAGTGGCCATTAGACTCCATTTTTAGTTAGGAGCTCTGGTAGCATAGTGGCTAAAGCACTTGTCAGCTAACCAGAAGGCTGGCGGTTCAAACCCACCAGCCACTCCTCGGAAGGAAGGTTGGGCAATCCTACTTCCGTAGTGATACTGCCTCGGAAACCCAAGGAGGGGTCGCTATGAGTCGGGGCCGACTCGACGGCACATAACAACAACAACAACAAGTTATTTAAATGCCTTTGTATATACACAAACTCAGCCCTGGGTGAAGTATAACACTAACAGTGAACTCTTAGGTTCTAACCAAAACATTATTTCCTTATAGAAGCCTTTTCTGACATCGTTTTCCCTCAAAAAAGATACTCTAAAGTATCTTATCTATATGCCAAGCATTCTGTACTTAACTTTTTTCAGTTTTCACTAAATTTTAACTTGAGTCATTCAATCATTTACCTTCATTGCTGTGTAGTAATAAACTTACTGAGGGCTTGTCACCACTGTATGTACTCACTGCCTACCTAGGTAGCACAGCATCATAATGAATATAAGTTTGTAAAACTCACTTAACTAAAACCCTAACAGAAATAAAGTAAGCTATTTTCTGTAATATTAAGAGTTTTTTTTAAAAAAAGTTTAAAATAAGCTTGTAGCTAGTGATGTGATAGATTTTACAGTTTGAATCTAAATCTCCTTTTTTTGTTAGTATAAAATGCTGCCTGTGAAAGTAATTGACAGTATTTATGACTCTACAAGTGAAGCGTGAGTTTTATTTTGCAAGAAAGTCTTTTACTGGTCTTTTTTATTCTTATTTTTAAGATTTATCTCTGAAGAAATAAAAATACAGTCCTAAAGTGTAATAATATTTAAAAATGATTGTAACCTATTACTCAACAAGCCACACAGTGGCACTACTGGATCATATTTGTTTTTTTAAATATTAATAAAATTCACTGTTCTTTTTCAGCTATTATTCATGGACTGGACAGTCTAACAGCTTACCAATTGAGAACTATCTATATATGTCAGTTTTTGACAAGAATTGCAGCAGGAAAAACCCTTGGTAAATATTTATTTTTATCTTGTATTTCAGTCTATATTTAAAGGTAAGTCAATGAGGAAAAGAAGCAGATAGGAGCTGTCATTTGTTTTCGAAGTTTGCCCACGTGTATCTGGGGGTAAAAAATATATATAAATACATACATATCATGGAGGTTAAAGAAATATAGCCCCTTCTGAGAGCAGTTCTCAAAGTCTAATATACATCAGAATTGCTTGCAGACCGTTTTAAAACACAAGAGTACTGGCTTTCATTCCCAGAATTTCTTATTCAGTAGGATAGATGTGGAGCCTAGGAATTTACATTTCTTATAAGTTCTTAGGTAATTCTGATGCTGGTGTGGGGGAACACATTTTGTGGACCAGTATCTTGGATATAGGGGAGCTCCAGTGATGCAGTGCCTAAGACATTTGACTACTAACCAGAAGGTTGGTGGTTCAAACTCACCAAGCCACTCCATGGAAGGAAGGCTGGACAATCTATTTCTGTAAAGATTTACTGCCTTGGAAACCCAGTGGGGATTGCTATGAGTCAGAATTGACTCAGTGCCAGTGGGTTTGTGGTTTGTTTTTTTTTTTCTTTTATCTTGGATATAACAGTTTAAATTTGACTAGATGATAACTTGTTGGTGACTCTTCCTGTCATACTTCATTTTTTTACTGGCAACTTGATATTAGAAACCTCTTATTTGAACTTAATGTCATCACTTATTTATATAAGAGAATATAATGTGTGCCTGTAATATCTCTCCTTTGTCCCTGTTCTTCATTTTGTACTGTAATGGGCAAGCATGGTTCAATTTGCTTTACATAGTACTAATGGTTGATGAAGGAGCTCTGGTAGCATTGTGCCTAAGGCATTTGACTGCTAACCAGAGGCTGATGGTTCAAACCCACCAGCCACTCCTTGGAAGGAAGGTTGGGTGATCTACTTCCGTAGTGATAATGCCTCGGAAACCCAAGGAGGGGTCGCTGTGAGTTGGGACTGACTCGATGGCACAGAACAACAACAACAACAGTGGTTGATGAAAGGGCCCTGATGGCATAATGATTAAATGCTTGGCTGCTAACT